AAAAAAGAAAAGAAAAGAAAAAAAAGAAAGAAAGAAAGAAAGAAAGAAAGAAAGAAAGAAAGAAAGAAAGAAAGAAAGAAAGAAAAGAAAGAAAGAAAGAAAGAAAGAAAGAAAGAAAGAAAGAAAGAAAGAAAGAAAGAGAGAGAAAGAGAGAGAAAGAGAGAGAAAGAGAGAGAGAGAGAGGTTGGCATGTTAGGTCCTTCTCTGTTAGTCTGCGTTCTGGTAGTCTCTGTCCATATCTGTACTTTTATCTCCGTGCTTCTTTGGAGGCTTCCGGCGCCGAGCAGGCAGCCGAAAAGACTGGCGCTGAAGAAGCAGCCAGAATAACAGCCTATACATGCCAACCCGTGACCCCTCTGAAAAAGCAAGGTCGAGCCGTGGGGGCATCTGCAGCAGGTGGGGGGTCCTTACTTGCTAGAGGCTAGAGTTCACTGAGTCAGAGGCGTTATGTGCATGGGCACTTAGAATCAGACAATGTTGCAATCAATGCCAGTGCGAACTTCATAGCTATTTCAGCATCATTGAGCTGTCCCCGCGGCGAGCGGTGATTCTTTGGGCTGGGGCAGTGAGCTGTCCCCGCGGCGACCGGTGATTCTTTGGGCCGGGGCAGTGGCATCCAGGATTGTGTTGGGTTGAATCTACTCAGGGATGGGCCGTGGGGGGGGGGGCTATTAAGAAAATGACTGCTAATGACTGCCAAATCAGCCAATACTACTATGTAGCATTAACGATTTGAGAAATGGCGCCTTTACCCCCCGTAGCCACCAAGTCATATAGGGAATCCAAATGAGGCACCATTTCTGGGGCCACTCATTAATTTGTTTTCTTTTGGCTGCACATTTGGTTTTCCTATATGAAATGGCGCCTTTACCCCCCGTAGCCACCAAGTCTCGGGTTTTTAATGAGTGGCCTCAGTTTTGGCGGCAGTGGGTGTCATTAGTGTCATTTGCTCGGTCGGGTTTCGATCCTTTAAGTTGAGGTGAACTTTTAGCACTGGGCTGGGCCTGTGCCTACAGGATGGACAAAGCCTCAGTGGTTAAGAAGCTGGATGCTGAGATGAGAAAGCTCTTTGCTGTGAAGAACATCACAGAGAGCTCCGGTGCCCTTCACGTGATGAAGTACTTGGAGGACATGGGCTCGAGAGACCTCGTGGACAAGCTGAAGGAGGTGAAGCATCGGCTGGAGACCATGGGCGTCACATGGCAGTCGGAAACGACTGCAGTGCCTTTCGGATGCGGGACGCATGAATTCTGGCTGTTCGCTTACCAGCTGAGCCTGAGCATGATGCGGGGAGTTCCGAAGCAGGTGAACGTCTTGGAAACGGTGCGTAACTTCATGGACAGTCCCTTCAGTTCCCAGCGTTCCCCTCTGACAGTCCTTTCTCCTGCTGGTGGTGAGCTGGATCTCGGGTTCCATGTTTCATTGGGCTGCACAAGATCCCTAGCTGCGAAAATCTTGTGCCTCATGAGCCTGGGGCTCACGGATGAGGAGCTCTTTGCTGTTCGTCAGGAGATTTCCGCATGCATCCAGGTGAAGGTGGTGATGGAACCTCCTCTGCCAGTCGGAGATCAAGTGGCCCACTCGATGAGACAAAAGTTTGTGATCGCGGAGTCCACACGACCAGACATCCTCCAAATGTATATTGCACTCGACCGCAGCTTCACTGCACAAGGCCTGAGGTACGTCAGCGAAATCAAGAAGTGGATTCAGAGTTTCAATGCGAAATCGTCTGTGGAAGCCGCCAAATTGTCCGAGATGGAATGTCGGATGCTTCTGCTGCTCCCGCAGCAGAATGAGGCGTTTTTCCATCTGCTCGAAAAGCACTGGGACTCGTTTAAAGCCAGCGAAAGCGGAGTGACACTGCGCACCCTGTGCTCCACCCTGGATCCTCAGCTCACGAAGTCAGATGGCGCCGGGCTCTGGGCGAGCATCTTGCAGCGAACACCGGAAAAGAACACCTTTTGGCTGCGCAGAGAGGTGACTATCTTCTTGCACAACGTGCAAGACGCTGTCCGAAGCACAAAAAAGGGGCAAACCTTCAGCCTCCGGAGTCGGGCTCCAAGGTTGAGGGACGCAAGTCCCGATCAGGGCTATGCTATGGTTGGTCTCTTCGTCCAGTTCCGGTCGGATCTACTTCGAATGCTTGGCGAGGATCTCTATGCGAAGGCGGAAACGTCGTTCCTCAGGGGCGTCTACGATCGCGAGTTTGCCGACAAGATCAGGAGTCAGGATCCGGCCCTTTCTGTCGAGAGCTTTCAGTTTGCTAGCATCTTGATGGGCAGCAACACGACTGTCCGCTCAGTTGCAATGATGGAAGCGGAAGCGAACGAAGCGCTGGAGCAGGCTCAGCTGAAGGCGTGGCAGACGAAGGTTCTGAAGGAATCGACCTTGTTCGACGATTTCGTTAGCCGCCGCCGTCAGCACCTCATGACTCGTCAGGCTGACGAGCGACAGCATCTTCTTGAGGAGGAGCAGAAGTTTCAGGAAGCCGCACAGAAGTACCTGGATGAGTGGATGCCCACGGTGTTCGTGCAGAAGGAGGGCTATGTGGCCTCCCAGGTTTTGCACCAGGTGGCTGACTTTGCCCTGAAGCAGAGTGTGACGGAGGACGCCCTGAACAGCATCCTCCTGCTTGACTTCACGAAGCTGGGCACGGCTTTTTCGAAGCACCTTCTTGTTTCGATACAGATTGTGGCTGACACCATCGCCGCATTCCCGCAAAGCAGTGCTGCTGTGATCTTCGCCCCTAATACAGGGGTATGGGGCTCCACGTACGGGGAAGGAGACGCAGAATCTGCAACAGAGAAAGTCGAGAGTGAGTTGAAAAACCTCAAGGCTCAGCTTGTGTACCGCAAGTGCTCTCTCGTCATGGCCGAAAGTTCACTCGCGAGTCAGTCGCGGCGATGCGGGCACCTGGCCTGTTGTGGAGTTTCAAGGTGTCTGCATGCAGAGTTGTGTTTAATTTGGACTTGTTGCCAGACCTGACTGAGGTATCACGAGATGTTCCTGTGCATCTCTCCGACTGTGGACAGCGAGGGGTCAATGGTGTCCCACTTTGCTTCTTCCACCGTCTGGTACCGGCGCACGATCACGGAGATCCCCCTCTGCCCCGTGGCCGACTATGTGGTGCCAGACCTGAATGCAATGACTGCAACTACGTCGAGGGCACAGCGCATGAAGCAGGCCTTGACTGGTGAGGGTCTCTATGCGAAGTTGATCTCCCGGCTGATGCGCGGCCTGCCTGCCGCAACAGCGAATGCCCCCCTGCTCCTGGTGGATCTGTTCGCATATGACACATCTTTTGCCCAGGCCAGAACAAGGATGTGTTTGGATGCAGCTGCTCCACTTCCGGCCACGAGGCTGGTCTCCATGGTGTGGGCTTGCGACGACAATGGCACTGACTGCCGGCACTCCATGGCTGAGTATCTGAAGACGACGCATTGTCGGTTTCTGAAGGATTTGGTCAAGAAAGACCACAGGAACCTTCTGGAGAAGTACGACTACGTGCCCAAGGAGTTGACGGAGACCGCCTGCCCCACCTTCGACGACAAGGATTTCGAGTACACCATCCCTGTGTCAGAGAATGACAAGTACTTCCTTCCGTTCCGGCAGGACAAGTTGGAGGCCATGGCCTTCAATGCACAGGAAACAGAGTTCAAAAACACAATTGCAAAGCGCAATGAGAAGTACAATCCCGGCGGCATCCCTTTCAATCCGCGAAAGAGAAAGGCTGAGAAGGACCTGGATTATGAGAATGAGGCTGCTGGTGGCGAAGGCCCTGTTCTGGCAGCCAGCAACACATCACTTGAGCAGCTGCCCAAGCCTGTCATCACGATTGTACCGGAGGAGCTGAGCAACCCGCCTTTCAAGGTGCTCATTGATCAGAAAAAGCAGTTGTGGATTGAAGCTGTGAATGAGGGCACTATCGGCACCAACACACCTCTCCTTTTGGCTTGGGGTTCGTTTCTGACCGGTGCAGAGGTCCAGCCACGGCAGGACAAGGGGGCGAAGTTGTTGACCTTCAAGCTTCAGGACTCATCGGCTACAGCTTTCTTCTTCCACGACACATCCGACAGCCTCTCGCCGGGCTTCCAGTCCAAGATTTGCAGCCTCAGGACCTTCCTCACGTATCTGGAAGGCCAGAAGATTCTGCGACCACACTTCGTGGCGCACTCCATCCAGACAGTGGAGGGCGAGGAGAAGTTCATCGTGAAGAACACTGAGGTCTGTGCGTTCGAGGCCAAATCCCTCCCACAGAAGCAGAAACCGGGCTTCCAGAATGCCCTCTCCATGTTGGACATCTTGGATGTGGGTCAGTATGCGAAGGTGGCTCACCGTGTGAAATATTTGGACACGAAGCAGCAGCAAGGCCTGTACCCCCAGAAACCTGGTGTGTTCTTGCGGCGTTCACTGACACTCGAGAAGGGGAAGCTCTACAAGCTGACTTCTGCTGACTAGTGCAATCCTGCCAGAGTCGCGTGGCATTTCTAAAAAATCGACTGCCGGTAGTCTCCTGTGAACAATACACAGTTGTTTGGAAGGCAGGTTGCACGGGAGCAGTTTTTGGCTGACACTACAGGCTCTTGATGCAAGAGCCTTGATTTTAAGAACGAACCGAAATTTTCCAGTCGGCAGTCCCCTGTGAACCGTCTGCAGCACTTTTGAGGGGAGTTTGCTTGGCTGATAGCACTGTGGATGTGCAGCATCTGTCGGGCGAGAGCTTGCATATGCAATGACATGAAGACCCGCAGCAGGAAAGTCATGACAGAGGCTGCAAGGCACCCCATACCAGAAACCATTTCATCGCACGTGGCAAACACATGTGTGCTTCAGTCCGTGCGTGAACATGAGTCTGTGAGCTGAAGGGCCTGTGCATATGCATGTCGCCATGAGCCAGGTCTCCAGCTTCTGTCGAAGTGTAGAGCTCAGCTTCCGAGTCAGTGCACTCCATTCACTCCAGATCTTGCTTGATGCAGTGTAAGGACATGTGTCAGTGTTCAACCATAGGCCTCTCGGTTCAAGTCCCTGCAGTGTCGACAGCCAACATACTATCGAGCGATCATGAGTAGCCTGTGGCTGAACGCGAGCTCTGATGAGGAAGAAGTTCCTCAGCAAGTGTCCCCGAAGATGGACACAGTGTCGGGAGCAGCAGTGGCATGTGCATTGTCACCGGGCCCAAAGACAGCAGTGCCACCCCAAGCAGCAGAGGGACCAGGCTTGGCATCAGATCTCGCTTTGCAGACTCCGCCCTCGAAGTTGATGAGCAGATCCCTGTTCAAGGACGTTGAGCCAGAAGACACAGAAACCCCTCCACCGGTCAGCCCGAAGCTGAGACAGATGGCTGCTGAAGCTGCAGCGAAGATCGCAGCCAAAGCAAAGTCAAAGCCAAAGGCAAAGGCAAAGGCGGCTGCAAGAGGTGCTGCTGGTGAGGACACCAGTGGGGGACGAGGCAAGGACAAGCAAGCACGTGCAGTCCGTGGCACTGCGAACACATTCGCGGGCAATCGGCCACCCAAGGACCCTGTCTTGCGTGAGCAGTTTATGGCCATTCGTGACGCCTACTTCAAGGAAGTTGAAAAAGATGCCAATGGAAAGCGAAAGAGAAGCAAATCCATGAACCAAGACAGCTTCCTGAAGAGCATGCGTGGCCATATTAGTGCAGACACGCGGGAGGTGTCTGGCCAGGTGGGGCTAGGCCTAACTAGGGTTGTGAAACCCCTTGCCCAATCATAACTAGAAAGGTTAATACGCCAATACCATCCTTGAGAGTTCCGTGTCCCGTTCAGGAGAAGTTTCGATCGGCCTTGCAAGCGTGGAAAGAGGGCAAACCTGTGCCAGGTTCAGAAGAGGCAACCCAGAAAAAGGGTGCAACCCAGAAAAAGGATGGGAAACAGGAGGCTCCGGCAAGTTTGTCGGGAAACGATCAAGAATCCCAGCCCGCAAATGAGGAACCGGAGCAGTCAGAGCCCCAAGCAGTACGTGCACCGACCGAGAAAGGCCAGGAGTGAAGGCAAAGTCAGGCAAGCTTGCTAGGCACTGTGTGAAACAGTGTGGGTTTTGGCCAAACGCAGACGGCACATTTATAGTGTGCAAGCCTGCTCTTTCATCGGGGCAACAGCCGGGAAACCCTGGCAGTCATGTGCAAGGGGACGAAAAATGGCTACACTTGTTTCTGTAAGGCACTGGGAAAGCAGCCTCTACCTCTGTGGCACTGTAGAAGCAGCTGCACACAAGAACCAGCTTGCCGTTTACTCATTGTCAATCAGTTGCACTTCTGATCCTCCCCCCAGTTGAGGCTGGATTCTGGCCCATGGGTGGGAATCTCAGCTGTGATCAGGGTCCCGAGATGCAATGGGCAGGACTGTTTGAAAGCACTTAACCCGTCACAGTAGTTTGTGTCCGAAGGCGCTGGCAAAGCAGCCTGTGCCTGTGTGGCGCTGTAGAAGCAGCCACAATAATAGACGACAAGGACCAGGAGTTGTTTGTTTACTGGTCCTCAGACAATGTGTCAGATCTCAGTTCATGTCGAGTCGAAGTTCTTTGAGGTTGAGCCGGGTTGAGCTGGCCTGGGCTCTGGGCCATGGGTTGGCGTCTCAGTCGCGGTCAGGATGGCCAGATGCTTTCTGCAGGATTTACTTTTTGAAAGCAATCACCCTGTCACATTAGTTTGTGTTGGAAGGCACTAGGCTAGGGAAGCAGCCTAGGCGTCTGAGACAATCTAGAAGCAGCCACAGTTGACAAGGACTGTCACATTGCAGCTGGTCGTCTCGAATCCTCTGCAGTCACAGAAGGCACAAAAAGCATGGCACTGACTACATGAGAGACAGAGTGTGATGTTGTGTAATTAAACGAAAGTGGTAAGGTTTTTCCTTGAAAGCATGGCCTCGGGAAGCTGGAAAGAGCTGCCCCTGGAGACAGAGTCTGCTCTCCCAGATGTAGAGGTGAGCCGTGATGCTTGGAAGCATCTGATGTGTGACTGTGAGGGCCCTTGCAGGGGAAGAGGCAATGTGAAAAAAAGAAAGACACCTGATGGATCCGACTGGAAAAACTTTCCGGTAAGTGCCCGGACCAATCGTCCTTCCCAGGGTCGTTCCGATTCCTGGAAACATCTGGCAATGGATGAAGATACAGTCCGGCACAAGAGAGTTCCAGCTGGGAAGGCCAATGGTCGTTCCGAGGGTCATTCCGATTCCTGGAAACATCCGGCCTCGGGCGTCTTTGAAGATTCCGTTCAGGACAAGATTCCTGCGCCTGTCTTAAACTTGACGAAGGAGCTTCTTCAGTGCATGCCGACTGTGAAGACAGACAAAGACAACCACTATGTCAGGCACGGCAAGGATCATGAGCGGCTCAGCGGGGTCCTGAACAGTAAATGTCGGTGCAAGCAGAACTGCCTGCAAGGCTTGGACAAGCGAACCACTTCCAGCATTGTGATAGCTTGGCACAATCTGTCTGCTGAGACACACATCATGCTCCTGCACGGACTGTATGGTGAGGAGACAAGTGTGCGACACGCTTGGCAAATCAATGGTCATCCAGTCTGCTTCCGAGGACTTCTCCGGGTTCTCGGACATAGCAACCGCACTCTTTGCAGGTTTGTTCATGGGATCGAGGATGGAAGAAGCGGCAAGAATTCCGAGCTGCCACGAGCCCAGAAGCAAGCTGACTTCGTTCGGCACTTCCTCATGGAGCTGTATCTGACAGCAGCAGAGGAGCTACCTGGCCAAGAGGAGTCCTTGAACGACGTGGATGCGGAGATCAGCAAGGCTTCTCACGGAGGCAGCAAGACGTACATTTGGACCCCAGAGATCCCGGTGGCTGAGCGGATAGCATCTCTGTTGAACCCAGACTCTCAGGCTCCGCTGAGATGGCTCCCACCAGGGCAACCGTCGGATGTATATCTTCAGTTCTTGGCGTGGGCGGAAACGCAAGGCAGAATGAAGCGAAGCAATGAGCAGGCTCAGGGTCGTCCCAGCAGTCCACTGCTGTACATCCCCTCCTGGAGCACCTTTTGGAAAGTCTGGTCCGGACAGTGGGCCGGCAGACTGCTGAAGTTCCGGCCCACCAGCAACCACACAGAGTGCACGAAGTGTTGGGAATTCAGGCAAAGCCTCCACTTTGGCAAGTGCTCCGCAGAGGAGCGAGTGACGATAGCTGCCCGGTGGCGGCAGCACATGGCCGATTCCTACCACGACCGTCTGTTGTACTACACGATGCGGTATGCCAGCCGCTGCCACATGAACGTGCTGACAATAATGACTGACTCAATGGACAAGTCCAAGTGGTGCTACCCTCGTTGGAAGTTCGGTCGCATTTCTTCAGAGATGGAGAAAGTGCACCGACCCAAGATCGTGGTCACTGTTTGCATGGCTCACGGTCACACCCTGGGAGTCTTTCTACAAGACTCCGAACGTGTGACACATGGTGCAAACTGTTTCATCGAGCAGGTCAGCAGAGTGCTTCAGACAATCCACAAGTCCTCTCGCAGCATGCCTGGACACTTGGTCCTGCAGTGCGACAATACCGTCGCTCTGTCGAAGAACTCCATCTCACATGTCTGGGCTGCACTGTTGGTGGCACGAAAGCACTTCTCCAGTGAGCAGATGTGCTATTTGCAGGAGGGCCGCACTCACGAAGATGCTGATGGTTTCTTCAGTCGATTGTGCCCAATGCTCAGACGAGCAGACTTCAGCAGCATCTCTGAAGCAGTGCAGTTTTTGGAGAAGCAGCTGAAGGATGAGAAGGTGCACCAGGTGGAAGAGAGGCTGGTGATTGAGGAGATAGAGGCAAATCATGACTTTGGAGCTCTGTTGGAAACAATGAAGGTGAAGCTGGGGAACACCTTCAGGAATCGACGAGATCAAGAAACAGGCGAGAAGAGGTCGACAGCACACAGCTTTTCTTACAAGCGCCGGATGGACCTGACTGCACCTGAGAGAGATCGTATTCTTCAGTGCGACGAAGTCGGGCATGCGGAGGACATCTTCTGTGTCGCCAAGGGGAGAATGTTCCATTCCGAATCCGAAAGTCACCGACCTGTGCTCGTGCTTCCAAAAGATCGAGTGAGTTTGTTTCCAGATCCAGCTCAACACTTGCAGTTGGAAGCACCGCGGCCGATGCAGCCGAATCGCAAGAAGGAGTTGGAGAGTCTGGCTCAGATGCTGGATGGAGAATCCATCAATCAGCCACGGGGTGCAACTGCAGTGAGGAATCTCATCGCAAAGGACTCCGCCTCGGCGTCCATGAAGTCCGATGTGAGTTGGTTTAGCCACGAAGGCCAGAACCAGCATCCAGCATTGGTGGTGACCGGGAACCGGTACTATCCACATTTGCCAGAGATTAGCTGGCCACTATTGGCTACTTTTCGATAGCTGGCCAGAGGGTTTGCCAGAGATTAGCTGCCTGTTGTTGGCTACTTTTCGATAGCTGGCCAGAGGGGGGACTGCGCTGTATCAAGG